AGCTTGCCATAACTGCGGGGCACGCGTGCATATGTCCAAGTGATAATCACTGGTAGAGCTATAGACATCACAAATATGTATGTCAATCGCTTGCAGCGCAGGAAACTGCGAGATAGATTCGAAGTGGCGCATATGATGCTTGCTAGTGAAGATGCGTAGGTTCTTCCACCTTTGGTAGGATTGAACAAGTAGAGACAGAATTATATCGTCCTTTATCGGTTCGCGGCAGTCGATACGTAGACGGAGGAAATGGTCGCCTGTGAGCTTGAGATAGGTCTGCAATATCTCGGGAGCGTATTTGGAGAAAGGGGCCTGCACGACAAGCTTCCGAGCCCAGGACGCTGGTGAGCTGTGCAATGTATCCCTCCAAATCCCACAGACGCGACCCAACATCCAGAGAGGCCCGGATACGTTCAGACTATGGAGTCGCTGTGGGAAGCGCCAAATCTCTGTTCCCTGCCACCAAGAATCACAAACAGAATGGAAGATTTCAATGAGAATATCGCGGGGAAGACGACGAATGGGAGCATAAATTGATTTGCGATTTTTGAGAGCTCTCAGGACTGCACGTCGACGTAACCGGATCTCTTCAAGCTGGGCAGCATACAAGGATTGCAGCTGCTCCAACTCGACCATTTCGGCGTTGAGCAGTGCATGGTCAGAGTCGAGCAATGGTCGTTGTCCGCGTAGAATTTGTGAAACGAGATTGTCGGAGCTGTTGGTATTTTGTAGCTGTGGCTCGGGCACGAATCCACAGTTGCGGCACGACATGATGGAGAAAGGCAAGAATATACTTGCACGTGGTCTGCCTCTCCCTCTCTCTATGCTCTCATCAGACTTGTCGCTATTGTCCGTCCCTTTGCTTTTTGACATTATCCTTTTGTAGCGGCATGGCATTTCTCCTCTCGTGAAATTGTTTTCTGTGCTGAAGCTGGAGAGGAACCGAATGGGAGAAACACCGCCGAATTACACCTACTCACTGGCATTGGATTGTGGGTTGCGACACGGTCCTAGTCTGGCAGCAACGAAGTCCTGGTGAGTGACTCCTTGTATCTCGACTACTTTATCTAACATTAATTTCTAGATGCCGCTACTATCTTCCTGTTTCTTTGGGCACAGCGTTCGATCCAACAACTCTTCATTTTCCATCACGTTCGCTCCCATAGTCTCCCGTATCATCTCTCTTCTGCAATATATCTTGTCTCGGACTACCAAAGCAATATCTTCGCTCGCAAACAGCCGTGTCTGAGGCCGAGAAGTAGCTCCCTTGGTCGTCTTCAAGCAGGAGCTCGTATCTGCACTTGCCAGCCGGTCCTGGTCAGGTCTCTTGCATTTGTGGTGGAAGCGAAGCGAAGTGATGAATTTAAACTTTGTTGCATGAATAGGATATGCGTTCTCGCCGGCGAGTAAATTTTCCGACATTTTCTGTTCGTCGTACTCAAATTCCATCTAGATAGACACGACCCCGAAACTGTCACTTACACCGACCTCGGCCCTTCGTATTCTATCTCAGGGGACGAATTCCGTCCAGAGTGGTTTCAAGACCCTTCCTGCTCTTGCCAGAATTCATAACGACCTTCAATACTTCTTTGTCGAGGACACCCGGCGACTCGCACGCGCACGCGTCCGATGCCAGTAATCAACGCAGATTCAACTCTTCTGAGGTGCCTTATTCTCTAAAGATACCATAATACCTCCTCAGCGCTTGGATCAGTATATCGGCGGATTTTTCCAGCACGTTCTTCTCTAAAATTATCTTGGACAGAGAATTCCCTGATGTTATACGTTGCCATTAATAAAGCAAGCCAATCCAAGTGTTGGGGAGATCCTTATCTACGTATGCTGCTGCCAAGTCGTCTCTCATCTTCATCGATGTTGTACGTAATGACTTGCTCCAAACTCCTTGAATCTGAATCTGATAACGCTCCTCTACAGTCCGGACTACGCAGACCCGAAGATTGAGTACGACAAGAATTTTTGGCAGTTTGAACGAGACCTCGAGGAGCATTTCTCAGGCCGCTCTAAGAAGCACACGGCGTTTTCCAGTTCATTATTGAACGCCATCCTGCTACCGCTACCGTCTCTCGCCTTGCAACTCCTCTCATCACGGAGAAGGAAGTCTCAAGCGACGCGCCGGTTCACATCTCCCCCATTAGCTTGTTCGTGGAAAAAGGGCAGACCGGTGATCCCTTATTTGCAGAAATGGGACACGAAGCTCATCACCAGTAAGTAATGCCAGACATTTTATCACTGCTCTCCTCAAAAGCTATCCAGATCCGCACTCCCACGGCAGGTTGGTGAATCCATATCGGCATCACGGAGGGCAAATGTCCCGACAGACTTATTAAACTCGGTGGCCTCTCGACCTCTGTCTTCTCTCCGTGACGATAATCAACCTCTCTGCATGGAGCATATTCTTTTTCCTCAGCTGTACTTGCTTCAGTTGCCGTAGCGATGGGAGAGCGGATAGAGATTGACGCTTTGACGGAGTACACACTTCTTCGACCTACACGTTCGCACTCGTACTGACGAGAAACGACCCCGACACCACATTCTTGGTCATCTCGGGCTTTCCCAACTCGCTATCGATGTAGAGCACTGGCGAAACATCATTTCGTGGAGGTGGATGTAGCGGTCTATCCATCTACATGATCCTTCACTTCCCCGTAGTCACCAATCGCAGTCTGTCATCTACAAACCGGGGTCATCATCTACAAGTGTTTGTCTCCCAGTGTTATGCATACGTAGCGAACCCGAGCTACGGTGGGAGATATCCTTTGGGCCACATATTCTGGGGGAGCTTTGATGGACGATGTAAGCAAGAATCCCTCCTCCCATATACGTTGAGCTAAATCTCTGCCGCAGGAGAATCAATCTACCCTATCCGACGATCACATCCCGGGGGCGCCCAATAAGCAAGCAAGCATCATTTCCTTCATCCACAAGTGCGGAGCGTATGGAGAGACTAGCTCGAGAACGGACATGATGTATACTGCCATCTTTCAAACAGCGGGGGATACCAGGTGGGAGATAGGTGTGAGAGGGCTTCGTGCGCCACGAAGTACTGATACTGGGGGTGCGTGAGAGGAGCGTCGAGTGCAGGTCGAGGCATTCGTAAATTGCTTGCAAGTTACTTCCTGTCGGGGTGCAGTTTGCATAGGGGAGGGCGTGCAGGATGAGCAGCAGTGCGGTAAAGGAATGACCTAGGATCGCGTTACGCTGCAGAGCCCTCGATCTGCCGATCTTGATGTGCTTGCAACGTAAGGAGCAGGCAGGCTTTGGAGGGCAGATGACGCTCGGGAGGAGAGCATCGGAAAATGCCGCCCAAAGTTACTCTGACACTGCCATGTTCTCAGTCGCGGTAGAAATCCTTGACAACTCCACCTTACCGTCTCGAAACTTGCACCGCGCGCATTGTTGTTGATAAAATCTCAATTGCATGATCCCAGAATAACACTGATATTGGTATCTAATAGGTGTACAGACACTAATACACAGCCAACCAAGGACGACGAGAAGAATGTAACCGGTACGGTGCCCTAACAAGTGTCAACACAAGACCCGCGAATACTGCAACAGACAAAGCTCACCCCGGACGGACGACTGCGCGCCGACTCCATCTCCTAATGCGCTACGCGCATTTACTCACTGCAAACCCCGGTCAACCCTCCGACACGCTAACACGAGCAATACACTTACAGGAGGGACAAAGTGATGTCACCGTTGACCTTTGCCTGGATGGCAATCTCGACTTCAAGGTTAAGGTCAAGGCGCAACTTCAAAGCTGCGGGAGGGGCAACAGCCTGGCGCTCAGAGCGGCCGACGATTTGTCCACCGAGGACGGAAGAGTTCTGGGTAGGTGCGTATTGGGTTTGTGGGGCAGACATTGTGATGAAGAAAACTACCGTTCGATGAACTGGGTCTTTTTATAATCAACTGCGCTAGCGTTGCGGGGTACTCGGCCCGGGAATGCTTGTGTAACCATTGATTTTTCATTTGAATATACATGGAAGCTTGTAACTTTGCCTCGTTGACGGGAAATTTTCTGATGCGGTAGGATTAATGAATACATTCGTGGGATCCAAGAGTCGAGCCTCACTCTCTTCCTCCCATGATGCATGAACGTGAACACCTCCAAGTTTTTTTTATTCTCGAAGGCGCCCCATTTCTAGGCTGTTACGACAAGGCTAGTTCCCGTTCGTCGCTCCACTCCAAATGGAGAAGAACAAGCAAGGAATCATTACCTTGCCCGCGCGGATCGTTCCCGCAGAACTTGGCGACCCAAGAGGTACCTGGGTGTTCGAATCTCGAACGTGTTTTGCATTGACAACCTACGAAATTTAACCCGGACCTCTCTACGCAGGCTTCTCTTCTCATCCAATATGCGACGACGAGGCACCCGAGTTGCTAAATGCATGGCGCAATCCATAACGTTGCTCTCCCCCCGGCTCCTCTCCTCTCTTTGTCCTAATCTGGGGGGGCATACTCGTATAAAAGGTTCACCTAGCTGAGCGGTATTCTTCAGCTTCAAAATGTCTGCCCCACAAACCCAATTCGCACCTACCCAATCCTCCTCCGTCCTCGGTGGACAGATCGTCGGCCGCTCCGAGCGTGCCCCCGCACCCCCAGCCTCCGTGAAGCTGCGCCTTGACCTCAACCTCGAGGTTGAGATCGCCATCCAGGCGAAGGTCAACGGCGACATCACCTTGTCCCTCCTGTAAGTTGGTTCTCATCGTCCGGTGGGTGCCTTCGGCTGATTGTTTGGTTTACAGTGAGTAAATGTGCTACGCGCACAGGGAGAGGGTCTGGGGATTGTGCTCGACGCATTCTTGTGAGATTTGCTTCGCTTTGCGTCATGTTGGCGATGCTAACGTGTATCTGCTTAGTGCCGATTATTCTTCCTCTACCTTCTGTCGATGTTGTATTAGTGTAGTGCATACCAATGTCAATGTCGAGCTTTCCTTGACACACTCAGAGTGCCGGCCAACCAGCCATATTATGGGTCGGTGGCGTAGCTGGTTATCGCATCTGTCTAACATGGTTTTGGAGCAATACCTACACAGAAGGTCCTCAGTTCGAACCTGGGCCGACTCATCTTCCACTTATTGATGTGGGGCGGCGGGGCCTTGGCAATCGCCTAGGGCTGCGCACGAAACCTCCAGGGGGTTTGATACCGTTTTGTACCTACCCTTCTTGGGGAGTTTCTTACCGGTCACGGGACCATTCACGTGGCCGCCGTGGAGCCATTTTTCCAAATTTTTCTGTACGATGTCATGATGCTACGCTGCCCCATTGTCGTACCTCAAATACTCATGAATTCTGTCCCAATACCCATCAGAATTCTCTGGCTATATCTTCTCACTTCTTTATACACATCTAAGTCTGAGAATCCTTCTCCCTGTCACGCGGTCGGTAAGTTACCTCAATGAAATATGCTCCACTGACCTGTGGTTTCTTACTGGTAACTTACCGGTAAATTACCGGTCCGAAACGGGGTGTATCAAAACGGGGGGTTTCGTGCGCAACCCTACAATCGCCTTTTGAAATTTGAATACTTTTAGCACTTATTCACAATTCAACATTCCCCGATCCCCTGGGCCTGAATCGAAATTGTAGTCTTTTGATTAGTGCACCGAATACAACTTGAAGGGACAGAGACGAAAATTCTCTTCTCAAAAGCCTACTGTTGTTTGACACGTGAACTAAAATGATATTGCGGTCGTGCCAATTGTACATCCCGGCTTGTCGAGATTGAAAGAGCGACTCGCACGTGGTTTTCGACGTGTCTGAGTCTTCTTTTCTTTGTACATTTCACTCAACTTCCTCGCTCTGAAATTTGAAGCATCCTAGTTGGTCCTCGATATTCCGAGTCAATGCTCATCACGCCTTGAAGAGTCTCCCTACTCGACAGCTATAGACATCTTATACACTATACAATCTGCCTGCTTCAAATCTCACCTGAACTCTTACATTGCCTTGAGCTTTAGGAAGTCGACCAAGCCCTACGATTCAAAGGACGTTAGTCGATGGTCTCAAACTAAGACTCTCCTGGTCTCGCCCTCGTCTCCTTTCAGCGCGTCTCCTAGACCTATATAATAACACACCTCATGCATCAGACGTCAGATCTTCTTGCCAAGTTACCTTCGCATCAACAAACCCATTCTCACAATGACTTTCAAGTATGTAACCTTTCCATCTTCACTGGATGAAACTGACCTCATTTACCGACAGGGACAAGTTTAGCGCTAATCGTCCGTCAGCCTCCTTCTCTTCTCTTTGCATTCGTACTCGTCAACATTTCTACGCAGCTGAACTCGCCTTCGACCAATTTTCCAACCTACCCAAAAGCCTCATACCCGCCAGCGTAAAATTCATGAAATTCCCTGGCCGTTACATAAAATTCGATGACGCGACCGGCGTGAAACGTTTCGACTGGAAGAATTTCAGAGCCGCCGTCGACCTCGCCAGCTCTCTGTTCAGGAGTACCATCATATCTCAGGCCAATGTTACGGTATCCGCGATGGCGAAGAACATCGCCGCCTTCCTCGACGATGCCCTCCGAGCAGGTGTGAACCTACACGAGTTGGAGACGACCATCGAGGCGACGTTTACCCACTTGAAGGAGAAGAAGGGGAAAGGGGTAGCAGATTTTTACCCGTCGACGGAAGGGAGGAGCTCCTGGGAGTGCAGGCTGTGGTTTGCGCTTCCCAATGGGTACCTTCGCAATTATTTTTGCTGCATGGTGAATACTATCAGGTTGGAGGCGAATATCGAGGACGAAGAGTCTTGGGTTCTCCAAGGCAGTACTACGAGGAACTTCTCTGCTGTCGTCGACTCTCTGAAGGTCTACGTGTCTAAGGACTTCAAGGGTATTTATACTTGACTACGGTACGTGAGATCTGAATTTCATCGTTCGCTTTCACTAATGTGCTTCGGCTTTAGGTATCAGCCTTTTATCCTTGGCTTATGCGGTAGGCCCTTGGTAGACTGATTCTTGCCGAAATTCGTGTCGCTGTCTGTTAGGAATAGACGTCGGCAGGCATGATGAACGCGAGGGGGTATGGCTCGAACGAACGTATATTCGTGGACAGATACGTAGTGGTGGTGGTACGAAGCCAAGAAGCGGTAGCGATCGGTACGAAAATCAAAATAAAGTAAAACAAAAGACAGCGGGCCGTCGGCCTGGTGGCTGTGAATCCATTATCCTCAACACTGTCCTTTAGTTTTTCTGAAATGAAACTCCTTGTGACTCTCGTTTCGAGTGACTTTGAGTTTTTCCCCTTTGTCGAGGGACTATCATTATGCATCTGGAGCAAGTTGGCGGCTCTTTAGCCCTCTGAATGTGAAGAGGAATCACGATTTCAGACGATGACCCATGTCTTGAAGCGAGGATGGCATGTCTGTCAGTGAGTGATCCATCTAATGGTTCTGCTTGTTGTACTCAAAGGCGCCGCGGTTAGATAAAGAGGACTGCTCGCTTCATCGTGGAGGAAGACGTGGCTAGTCCGCTAGCTCGACGCGAGTGTTGGAACTTTGTATGCGGATACTTTGGTGTCTGAACACGATCCCGACTGCTCGTTTTCCTATTGGCGGAGGGAAATGAGCGGCTGATGCATGACATGATCGTCGTTGATTGGCTGTATTCTGGGGTGGACCTGTTCAAGAAGAGTCATGGGCGTCGGTTCATATGCCAAGTACGTACCCGATGATGAGTCGCCGATCGGGCACCATCATATGAACAGAAGTCCTAGCACTTAATTAATATCTGGAAGGAAAGGCCTACGCTTAACGAACATATCAACGCTTCACTCGATCAAGGGTCCCGTTAGAGGCTCGTGCTTACCCTAATTATAGGCTGAGAAGGTAATGTTCTCGTCCTTCAGTGCTAATGAAGAAATTGACTTAACCGTCTTGGATCTTTTCCAGTTCCCTTCAATACTGCTGTGACCACCATTGATAATGGGTTTCTTTTGGCTCCCCACGATGCCAGTGTAGTTGGCGCAAGTGACGATACTGATCTGGATCTGTCGTGTTTGACGACGGACGCGTGCTCCTGCACTCCCGTCACAGAGGTACTCTGTTCTTGTTCCAACAGTAGTCTTTATCAATCTTCGCTTACATCTAGTAAAGCTAATTTCGCACTTCGCTACCCCTCCCCCCATTTATACGTACTCGGATGTGCTTCGCCCGAGCTAAGTCATCGCCCCTGAATTGCACGGAGAGCTTAGCGGGCACAAAGAGAAGGGTCACTACCTTATTTTTGTTTATCGAGACTCCTGACTGCTTTATGCTCGAGTCCAAACTCTCACACATTCAAAGGGACTACTTCTCATCCTCCGTAGGGGTCTTGGCAACATCAGGCGCCTGCTTCATCTCGAGCATCTCTGTTCATCTTCGCCACTTGTGACTTTGGGACACGCAGGCAAGGGTACGGATTCAGGGTATGTCCTTTCCGCGCTTCTCGGGTCCTGTACTTACTTACTTTCTAGCCTGGGGAATGGCGATAAATGGAAATCACTTCTGTGCATCTGGTCGTTCAACGGTTATTTTATCAGCAGTGTTACCGACATCAGAGAATATCGCGACTGTGAGCCCAGTATGGGTCCCATATGCCTGCAGGCTCTTCTACAAACTGTCCATGAGCAAGCTGGTATACGAATTGCCGAAAATATGGCCCCAATACGGGAGGTATCAAGCGAGAGTCCTATTGATAGTAGCTCTGCACAGCGGTGCATCTACTACCGAATACTTCTGGAACTTTCGGTGGTGTTGGAGATTCCCTTTCGCGCTCTACTGTATCGGGAAGATGAATTTTATTTACAGTCAGTCACATTTCACGGACAAATGTGAGGTTTATAGGAGGTGCTTTTCGTTATCGATTGCATATCAATGTCATGCGTGTATGTCCTGGTAGAAGGGATGGAATTCATACACAAAAAGTGCGTACCCTTCTTATTGAGTCTCTGTATAAAAGGCCTTGTCATGCCATTGTCGACCCACCCACCCCCACTCAACACCACATTCAATCCTCATCCATACGCTAAAAAATGTTCACACCTGCTCCTGGCACGTACAAGATCATCAACAGGGTTCTCTCTGTCAATAATAAACGACTTGCCATCACTGCCAACGCTGAAGGCAAACCTGCGAACGTTACCGAGGAGGCGTCCTCGAACACGGCGCAACAGGTCTGTATTTCTTCTCTTCAACTTGTTAATCACCTTTCTGAATGGAATTTCGTAGTGGGTCATTGCCGATTTCGACAGCAACACCCAGAGCATGGCGCCTGTTGCGAGACCTAGCCTTCAAGCTGCCTGGGGCTCCGGAGTCGTGACCGTGCTTCCAGCAAAAGGTTATGTCTGGACGATCAGGGAAACTGATACCGGAATCACGTATGGGTTGCCCTGATTATAAAAAGTTTTTAAAGACCTGATTGTCCTTGCTCGTATTTAGTATTCAGGATGGCGGCCGAACCGCTTTCTGGGGAGTAGCCAGTGCAAGCGAGGATTCCCAGGTGGGTTCGGTGCAATAATCTGCCTCCACTTCGAGTCAGTAATTGGGTTTGTAGGTCACTATCGGGGCTGGTACCGGCGATCTCCAGCAGAGGTGGATTTTGATGAGGGTCGCCTAAGGAGTCGCCTTCATAACCCAAAAAATTGATCCTCTTGTTTTGATTGCTTGTTTCTTCGCGACGACGATCACCTCCCTACATGTACAGACACGGCACATTCTTTGTTAATGGCACTTGAATTCAATTGTCCCAGCGACAGGAGAGGGGAGATTCACAGCGAACGGTCCCAACTTCTCGTACTCCCATTGGCAGAGGGAAATGAGCAGCTAATGAGCAGCTGATACAAGACATGATCATTATCGACTAGCCGATCCAAGGAGCGGAGAACCAGTGGCTCATCAACACGACTAACTAAGATACGCGCACTAATTGGAATCCTTCGTGACTTGCAGAGCTTCAATTTGAGAGAGAAACCCATCGGCGATGTCCAACCGTGCCCCGTAGGCTGCACGATAGCCATTCCGGAAGTTCTCATATATCGGATCACCTCGGCGGGCGAGAGGGAAATACGGATCATTCGTGC